AGGAAAAAGGAAAAGTAAAAGGTGCTGTGTTTCAATATCAATTATTTGTCTCTAAAATTACACTTAACACCAGTAAGATGTACAGATTTAACTAAACTTTTAAACAGTAAGTAACCCACCTTTTTTTCTTGGCTCAAACACAGCCTTCATTGTTGTTGCAGCACTATATAAATATAACACACATTTTTCCCAGTAAATCAAATTTTAAAATGTCCATACATGTGAATCTGAAGCAAACCATACTTGTAAGCCTTATGGCAAAAAGATTGGTGATGACAGAGTTGCCTCAAGTGTTCTTACTCTCCAGGCCCCTTACCTTACTCTTTTTGCAAGAAAGGAGATCAGGAATAAGTGTGCACTGTCACAACAATCTTTCAACACCAGCAACAGCAAGCACTAGCTGAGGCTTGACTAGAACAATTCTATATGGTAAGACCTAGACCTCTTAACAGATGGACATTGTAACACAGTACTCAGACATCAGAGCTTTTATTTGAATTCAAAGCCATAACATTATCAGAATTTCAGTATCAGACTGGTAAAGCCTGTGGACATTTTAAGAAAAGACTAGGTGAATGAATGAAACACAGAAGAAAAAAAAAGAGAGGGAAAAAAAAAAAGAGTAAAACTGAAAACCCCAACATACAGGAATCAATCACAGCAGTAACATTATTTGAGAACTGCAATATACACAAAGATGTAATAAATCATATTTTCTAGTTTGACATCTCAATCTGATATTTTAACTTCGTACTGAAAAATAACCTAAATATTGTTTCCCCAACAGTGGTAACAATGTGATCTAATTTCTGCTGTTTAGAAAGATATTCAACATCTAAAATGAGATTCAGTGTAGAGCACCATCTCCAACTCATCCTATCTCCAGTGTGAATATAGCACAGCTGGAAACCTCTGTTTTAGAACAGTATCAGTAACACAAATCTGGTCTCACTAAGTCACATGCAGTAAATATATCGCTTTTTTAAAAGCCTGACCAATTCATTTCTAATGTATTTTTCTTGAGTGATAAAACTTAATTGTGTAATTTTCAGCATAGCTACTGTCAAGGTTTAAATATTTCTACCCTGAACTAAAATTTGCTTTTAATATGCCAAAGGCAAAAAGTGCATTACACAGTTGGCAACTCCTAATGAAATATTAACATCTGTATTTCCAAATCTTTTGTCAATGAAAAGGACACTACATTCAAATTTAATTACGTGTAAGGTCATTATGCCTTTGCTTATTTCTTTCATACATCAAACTAGCCCCCATTTTTTATTATACAGAAATCTAAACAAAAAGTAATAGATGACGTACATTAAATCTTGGACATTTAAAGCCAAAATTCAACTCTTTTCCCCAGAATTAGCTTGTTGTGTTTTTTTTTCATAAGAAATTAAAGAAATTGTCTCCTCAAACTTTAAAGTTACACTAACTTTCAGAAAGCTAATGTCAGTTCTGTTCATAATTTATTGGCATTTTTTTAGTCTGTGTAGTAAAACTGTGTTTTTAAGATACTTAATTACCATATAAACTGGAAACTGAAACTATTCTAAGGAGGAAAAAGAATAACTTCCAATCAGCGTAACAGATTTGATGAGATTATTAACAGTATTGCAGCAACAATGCAGAAAGCCACAGATTGTTCAGAAATTGTAGGGTGAAGAAAAAGCAAGAGAAGTTGTTTACTCATACAATAGAGAAAGTTTTATTTGATGTCCACGATGTAGTAGAAAATAGGTCTGATTAACGTTCTGAAGTGATAAAGGAGAGAAGGGGGTGGGGAAGAGAATTTAAGGTAATTACACATAACAGAGTATAGCTCTATTGTATATTGAAGCTTACAGATCAGAAAGGAAAAACTAACCAAACTAGCACTTTAAGAATTTTAAAATGAAAAAAAAAGGTCTACATTTTTTCTTAACAGGGTAGATCATGCAGAGCAAAATCAGTTATTATTTCTTACACATAAGCAAAAAGAGCTTGTTGTTCCTAAGATTAATTAGAAAAATATTACAAGATTAGTTCTACCATCGTTTTTTAAACATAATGGTACAGATGTAACCTCTGGTTTGGGGGTGAGGAATCATCAGTCAACTGTCAGCTCTTAGAAACAAGAAGAGCTTGGCCATTACTCCATTTTTTTGAACTGCTAACAGGACATTGAGCATCCTTGATCATTAGTTGACTCATTATGACATTTCTTATTACAAGGAAACATAAGCAAATCTTCCAAAATATCACTTACTGTCAAAGAGCATTACTTGGATAACTTCTCAGGGAAGGAATACACTATTCAATAAATCCCCAGCACCTGTACTGGACAAGCTCTCCACAGAAAGAGTGATAAAAAAGAAGGCAGGTCAAGAGCACTAGAGCCTGTAAGACAGTTTCTTCCATTTCCAGTACTACTGACTCACACTAATCTTAAATAAGTTGAAGTTTTTCCTCAAATTATTCACCTGTCAGGTATCTTGCTGCTCTATAGAAAAGAAAGACGACCTATGTAGAACATTATGGACGGAGAAAAATAAATAACTTGTTAGAAAGCTGAACTATTATAAACTCTGTATTTATTTTAATATACTATCTCTTCACTATTAACTGTAGTTTTTACACAAAAGCTGCAACTTCCATTCATACAATATTCCAAAAGCACATAATGGTTCAAGCAAAAGACATTCAAACAATGACTACACATACCAGCACAGAAAAATTACGATTAAACAAACAAACAAACAAACCAAACCACTGTGGAAAACAAACATTTAAAGAACTGATTTTAGTATAAACTTTAACTTAACAGTATACATTACAAAAGTATCTTTAATAAATGGCCCGCAACCCTGTAATATGCCACTAGATGGCAAGTTTGGATAGAAATTAGCTGACAGTAACACAGAATGTTTGGAAACTGCAAGTGCATATGAAAGAAACACTCATGAAAAAGGAGTGAAGAAGGAGAACAAAAAAAAGAAGAGCTTGGTAAACTACAAGTCTGCTGTATATAGCATATTTAATATTAGTCAAGCAGCCTAAATGGGTTTCAGCCTTGTTTCCACATCTGTCACACAAGCAGATAATAAATTTTTAAAAATTTACCGCTCACAGACAAGGAAGAACTTGTTCCTTCTTTGGTCACAGACAGCAGCATTGGTTGTAGCAAGCACAAGAATCTGAGAAAGGCTAAGGGAAGTAGCAGATTTAGGTCTTAGGAAAGCAGATCTCAGCTTTCTAAAGGAATTGCTAGTTAGGATTCCTTGGAGAGCAACCACAAAAGGGGTTAGGAGGTACATAGAGGGTGAGAAAGATGGGTCCATTCAGTTTGGCAAAGAGGAGGCTTAAGAATGATTCTGTAACAATCTGTAGCTACTTAGGAGAGTTAGAAGAATGACAGAGCCGAACACTTCTTTGTAGTGCCACACAATGTAATGAAGCATCAACAGCTGTAAATTGCAGCTCGAGACACTCAGGCTGTGGACATCAGGAAAAAAATTCACTGGAATGGTAGAGCAGCACCAGAGAGGTTGCAGCACGCACCCTTGGAGGTTTTCAAGATACAACCAGAAAAAGGGCATGGCTGACCTGATCTCATGTCGACAACAGCCCTGCTTCAAGCAGAAGGCTGGATAGAAGCACTTCTAATGGTATTTTTACCACTGTGAAGTGGAGATGGATCTGGCAGAGTTTGGCACCCATCAAGGAACAATCATTCAAAGGGAATAAAAAAAACCCAAAAACATTTTGCCTCATTTTGATCAATTGTTACATCCAAACCAAGCTGCCATATGAGGACACTACTTAATGCACCATTGGAAAGTTTTGGAAGTATCTTCACAGACACAAAAAACAAATGCAGATTTGAATTTACAGATATGATTAGTATTTTAATCAGCTTGTCTGGATCTGATACTCACTTGTCTGCCATACAACAAAGTCACATATCACATATTCCAACTCCATAAATTGTACAATGCTTATCATATCCAAAATTCCAAACAATACAGTGTTTTGCAAAATACAGTATAAATCTAAAACACTATCCAAGTTATCTAAAACCATCCAGCTGTAATATATCATTTTGTTCACCGACTGATCCTTTAGCCAAAAAGGTGTGTTATATATGACACTGCTGTAAACAGGCATCCAAGGAGGACCTTCACAGTTGAGCTCCTCTAAAGATAAATGTAATTTCTGTGCTATGGTAAAGGGTGGTACAGAAAAGGAGCAGGAATCAGACAAACATGTGAAGAGAAAGGAGTGACAGCTCTATATCGGTTGGAAACAATGTCAAAGAGCCCGCATAGCCTGTATTGCTTTTTAATCACCTTCAGATCAATGTAATATCGTCCTCATGTATGTGAAGTCATGTTTAAAAAAAAATAATAAAATTATTGCTTTATATGTTCTTCACAGTTTTTTATAGCAACGTCTCAAATTGAGAAGCCCAGACTAGTCAGCTGACTATCTGGATTATAAGAAGTTATCCTATTTCCAGGAAATATTACAACATCCTCAGGAATGAAACTCTCCATCGTGTAATCACATGCTCTTCCCTTCTCACTGAGGTCTTTCAGTTTCGTTTCCTAAACCGTTCAGGATAATTTGGGTTTGATGTTTTGTTGCCAGCCTATGCAAAACTTTCCACCTTGTTTTCAAACATAAACAAACCTTGCCTTTAAATCAGTTCTTTCTGTAGTTTACAGAAAGTGTTTTGATATTGCAGAAGCATGCAAATAAGCATAAAATCTCTAAACAGAAATACAGTGAATGTATCTGAAAAGTTAGCCCTGTATAATTTTCCCACTGTTAAATTCAAACTTACTACTGTCAGGTAACAAAGTAGCGACAAAGCAGAAATTAAACTTTTTGCTTACCTGTAACACGTACATAAAGCTCTCCAAATAAAAAGGCCACATAAGAAATAAGATATATTTAAGTGAACATCAAATTTCTCTTTTAGGGTAAAACAACTGAAATATAAGCAAAAGCCTTACCTCATCAGAAGACAGAAGGTAAAGAGGTGTTAACACGGGAATTTCACTTAATTCACAACAGAGACCAAGTGATACCAGGATGTCTTTGAGAACTTCATATCTCTTGGTATTGCTTATCTTAAGCAAATTAAAATCCTCTTCAGTTTGGACATCCATAGAATTGATATCCAGTTCCAAGTGTGCCTGGCAGGATATGCACAAAGGGAATAAAAACAATTATTTTTTTGGTACTACACATTTTAGCGTGGCAGAGAGAAATAAACAAAACAGTTCCAAAAGCATCTTTGTCCTGACTATGGTTGCTGAACTGTTCAGCGTTACTACTGCCACTTTAAATTTTCCCAAGTCTTCATCGTATCTAGACAAACAGGCCTTTATTATCATAATAAACTAAGCAATATCTGCATATTTATAGTTTCTGATTCAGGGATCACAATTACCAGGACACTACCATTCTCTCTGAAACCTACACAAAATATTGCTTCTTAATTGACTGGATTTCTGAAGGAGTTGTTCGAACTTGTGTTCACTAACTTAAACTTCTGCTTTTCATGTCTGCTGGCAACGTAGAACTAAAAGCGCTATTGGTCACATTTTGGCTCGTAAAAGAGCAGAAGTACATTAAAATTGAGAGAGCTTTATCAGAGATTACACAAGATATGCAGAATTCAGGCTGAACAAGTCCTTACCGTGTCACATGATTTAAGTTGCAATCAGTGCAGATACAGAAATGCTCCTGTCTGAAAGCAAACTAAAAACCCCAGAACACCACCTTGTAGAGAACAACTTCTAGGGCTGAAGGAGATGCTTAAAAGTAGAAATGAAATGCAGGAAAAAACCAAAACAACAAAAAAACAAACCCACGTTCTAGATCTCCTTTTTGGTTTGGGTTTTTTTGGGGGTTAGTTTGTTTGTTGGTTTGTTCTGTTCGATTATTTTAAAAAGCGTTCCAAAATATTCAGAAGCCATTGTACCCTACTACATGCATACTCATTTAATAAAAATCACAAGGTATTATTTTTGTTAATTTCTCCAATTTTGCAAATTTTAATGATGTTCATTGTTCATCTATTATCTGCTTTGTTGAAATTCAGTGAAATATGCTGAAATGGAGGCAGGGGGAAACAGAAGAGTACAGAAAAAAGGGTAACAATATGTCTGTGATAGAATATCTAATGGCTGATGTCACTGTCAGTCCCCTGAAGAGAAAACAGTAAGGCTTTTCAAATCCAGACTGGAAGTCATTTAAAATTATAAAATGGCATACTAAGCCTTTTAATCTGATTTTTGAAGCTATACTGTAATGCCCTTTTTTCTGAGGACAACCTCTGCAGTATTAAGTTTTACTACAGCAGAAGGGTCAATTTAAACGGTGCAGCAAAGCAGGTTTTACCATGGAACTTGTATGAAACGGATAGGAGCAGCACCTAATCAATTTTCTAGTACCAGCATTCAGCACATGGGTGGCAAAGCTTCCTACATAAAGCTATAAACATGCTACTATGTATAACAGAGTTTCTGGTAAACTAGCAAATTTAATCTGATAAACCCACAGGAGATGAAAACACTTCCAGGAAACCTGCTGAATATTTCTGAATTACATAATTGCTGTAAGAGTGTATGCTACCTGATATGTGAGCAATTAAATTTGAGTGCTCTGGGTTCCTGAGAAAGTTCTCCTGTAACTAAAATATTGGTAAAAACAGGTCCTAGAATCTGCCCATAACGTTTGTTCAGCTATGTCTCCATTATATTCCTCGTCTACTTAAATACCGGTAAACAAATCTTGCTCCAGTTTTCTCAATGTGCTACTTCAAAGCAGAGACAGAGTAAGGAGAGTAATGTAACTGCAAACAGTCATGCTAAAAATGAAATGTTTGCCTCCGCACCTACTGAGGCTAACTCAAAATGCTCAAAATGTGCAAGTCGCCTTCAGGCTCACTTTTAAATTTTAATATGAAACAGCTGAAGCTCCTCTAGATTTAACAGCACAAGTTATACACCCAGGTAGATGCATATTTCTGGGGCATAGATTTATTTTCTACACTTAATGATATCTCCTATCAGCCTTTCTATTACTCAAAACTCTAGCCAGATATCTTTGAATACTTAAATAATCAGCAACCAACATTTACCTTCAACACAGCCACGGAAGCTTCCCCAATCATTATCCAGGAAGACAGAGAATAACAATAACAAAAGAAGATTATGAACATGTGAACTTATCTGTTGCTTAACATTTTGAGGGGGTGTGGGGTTTGTTAGGTTGTTGGATTTTTTTAACGGAGATCACAATACTGTGACACTGGAGAGATACTATTTGCTGCGATATTATTCTGAAGTGCAATGAGTAAGATTATGGCTCATTCTAGACTCTTCCACTTCTGTCTCCCAGATGTTCTGAGCTATTTGTTAGGTGCAGAATGGTAGACATTTAAAAGTTTAAAGCCTGAAAGAAGACTTGGAGAAAAAAAACGTAGCCACAAGTTTCCAGCAGACTACATTCTTACATTCTTCCTTCCCCATACCTCGCCAAAAATATAATTAGGAACACATATAACTCACTGAAAACATGTCAAGGTTTAGAAAAAATCTTGGCAGTAAAGAGAAAAAATGCATTCCAGTTGAATAAAGTTGGAGGTTTTTTTAATGACACAACAGCAGGGCCAACATCATGAACCTAACATTCATCTAGAAATTAGCCTTAATCAAAACACTGCTAAAGAAACCATAAAAAGTTTGCTTCATTCACAACACTAAGATATAGAGTACAACTGAGACAATGGTAGTAATACCAGCAAAGAAAGAACCAACAGAACTAAATCAACCCTGGCATTTCAGTATAGTCAGAGACTAACCTTTGTTGTGCAGTTAACCTCCTCAACCAAGAACTGAAGAGCAGATTTTCTAGACATGGCATGCAATAAGTAATAGAGGCTGGGACTCTCATTCACTAGTGAGATTTCCAGAAATGCTGGTTACCTTAACCTTAAACCTCTAGAGGAGATGACTCTCAAGTTTCTTGCAAGGCTTATTTTACATCCTCTCCTGACTCTGCTTCACCATAGTTCATGTTTTTGTAAGGATACCTCTTTTTTTAGCTTGCTAGTATAAGCTTTCACCCCGAGTCCACCACCAACTTGGTCCTTCCTGTTCCCACCTCCCAAAATCTGCAAAATGTGCAGCTCTTAAAGATGTTTGCTTACTGTGGAAATCTGCTCTCTCCTCTACCATCCACTGTGATCTCGCATGTTCTACACCTGCAAGGCTACATGGTAAAACCAAGGAAGTGGAAGAGCAGTGACACTCTATCATTTTAAGCTTCCTGAGGATCAAGTGAAAACCATTCTGCGTTCAGAGACCTTGTAAATTCACTGAGACATCCATCTGTAGCTCCCCTTGACAAGCATCCCCTAGAGCATGCATCACATCATGTAGCAAGAAGCAAATTAATACACAGTACCTGAGAAAGAATGGCTTCTCCCCCACTGTCTCCATAAGTCAGGTGAACAATAACTGTATCTTTATCAGCGTTATTTAATCGACTCAATGTCTTCACTTTGCTGGTATCTTCCTTCACCACTTCCTCAAAAACACAGCCACTGACCAAAAGATTTAACTTAACTTCAGTGCTGTCCATTTTGGAGACGACTAATTCATCAACAGTCTTCATTTTGTTTTTCCTCTTTATTTGTATGCCATCAAATGTAAAATATGAGGAAAACCCTAGAATCTTTCCACCTGTAGATAAAAATTTCATAAATTTTTTGTGGTTCTCCTCAGAAATAGGCTCGTCTGTGGCAATGATCAACAGCACTGAATTATCAATCCACGGATCTTTCAGAACTTGTTCCTCATGCAGCTGGTAGATGGTGTAGCTGTCCTTATTGATGCATTCCTGAAGGACTGATTTCATCTGCTCAAATTCCACTTTTCCACTTTCAGAGCCAAGATAAATCAATATATTAGGGGGCTTTCCAGCAATGTCTACCCTCTTTATTCCTCTTGCTAAGTGGTCATCATTCTTCTCTTCCAGTTTGCTATTGGAATCATCAGAGGCAAACTTGACCGATTCAATAGTACTGTTTTCAAGCTGCAGGCATTCATGACAGCTGGAAAGATGTAAGTGATGGTGTTCTCCAGCACCTGTCTCTTTGTCAGGTAGACTGCTGGATTCATCTTCATGCTCACTTTCTTTCTCTAGCCTGGATTTCTCCTCTTCACCTTGTCCTGCAGACTCATCTACTCCTAATCCTGATTTAACAGTCATAGCAGGAGTTACTTCATCCATTTGATTACTGCTTACACTTTGCTCTTTTAAAGATGGTGCCACCTGTGCCAACTCCTTCAGAGTAGATTCCTGCAAATGGACAGCTGGAAGAGTTAAAGAATAAGAAAAAGGAGTTAAAAAAATTAAAATAAAAGAGCAGGATTTAGATTTATTTTCAGTACAAATAATCTAAAATAGCAAGAATTTCACTTGTTTGACACACAGAATCCTAACACAACCTCTCCCTCCACCAAACATAATGAATTTGCACTCATAACACAAGTTATTTACTCTAATGACTCTTTTGTTTAAGGAAAGTCTGACAGAGAGCACCAAATACTGTATTTACAGGGCATGTTTAAACAAACTAACATTTACTGTGAGTGCAAAATTATTTGCACAAAAGTAAAACATGAACGCTACTGTACACAATGCAGATGTATTCTTCACGGAACAACAGTCTGAGGGGAGGAGGTGAGGAAGTTCTCGTAAATGCATCACCTTCTCAGCTTGTTATTCTACTTGCTCATCTGTCCCCAGCGAAGTACAAAACAAAGCAAGGGAAGCACCTTTGAAAAAAATACTAGTGTCTGGCAGGGTGGAAAAATGCTTATTGCTATTTTTGAAATAAGCTAATGAAGTGATGATACCAGGTAAGACAGAGACATTGAACCATGTCGCTTGTATTGCTGAAGGCTGTGGATAAGCACTTGGCAAAAGCAAAGAGGAGTAAAAAAAGAAAAATCTGAACTGCTTTCACAGGCTGCAGAAGAGGAGAGATACCCACACACAGCTGGATGTCAGAGCTGAGAAGGGAAAACTAGCAAATAGGAAGAATTGTTAAACATTCCCCTTTGTCTCCCAACTGTCAAAGGTTATTACTGTCAGTGTGAAACCTGCCGAGTAAACTAAAGAAAGAGGAGAGCAAAAAACTCTTTTAAGGTAATCTTTTTTCAGCTGCTGAGCCATTAAAATATTTCAAATCAAAGTCTGCAACATTTTACTGAACCCATCTCCACTCCTGCAAGGTCAACACAGTTACTATGCTTTTGTTTCTGATTTCTCAAAGAAATTCAGTGAAAAGTTTGATTAACAAAATAGGCCATTGGCACACAATACACCGGATCCAAGTTCATTCACTCTCTTCACTTAACAACACTTGCATTCTCTTGAAACTATATCCCCTTCGCTTATAGTTTAGAGCAGAATTTGAAGCAAGATCTTTTCACATCCCAGGACAATTTCCCAGCTACCATCCAAAGCCTCCATCAACCTATTCTCCTGGAGCAGTTCTAGCATGCACACAGCATCTGGGCAAAATGAGCCAGAAAATATTCTGAAAAGTAAACGTCTGGAACACTCTCTCAGCTTCTGTCACCTTCTTGCATGAATATTTTTGCAGAACAGCACGAAGAGACAAGAGTTTCACGTCAGATACATTTGTGAGCGTGTTTCTACCTTCTTGCACCCTAGCTACCTGTGTTTTTCATCATTCCCTACTTTTGCCAAGTTGCTATAACCTACATTAAAAAATAGGCAAACAAACACAGAAACCCCACAACCGAACACAAAAAAATCCAAACCAAACTGCAAAACCCAACTCTTTTTTTTTCCTTTTTTTGGTGGGGGGCTAGGGAAGAGGATGGTTTTTTTTAGATCAAATCACTATTTTGTTATTCTACATGACTCACACTTTTATTTACACAGTTTGCAAGACACAACGAGGCAGGAAGCAATGAGACTACTGCTGAAGAAAAAAAAAGAGAGAAAGCCCACTGCTCTACAGTACCCTACAGACTGCATCTTATTGCACTTCTTAGGAGAATGGTGCTGGAAAAAAAAGAAGTTTCAATTTCATACCGCAAAGGAAAGTGAAGCTTGGACTTCTCACAGCCCAGACAACAATTCTGTTGAGAATGCTACAAGGGCAACCATGACTACTTCCTTCAGCTCTCCGTGGAATCAGCCACGAACTCCCTCCTTGCCTTAGCTGAAACTATTACACTAAGGAGGATACAATGGCTCATAGTTTTGGTATCATTAAAATCACCTCCTAAAGAAATAAACCATCCACCAAAAATACAAAATTCAGCTCCTCTCCCTGGTTATCCCTCCCCGTTTAGAAAGCATCTGAGAGCTTTTCTGTTAGTGTCCTAAGGATTAAGATGCTCAGAATATAGCAATTGCTCTCAACCTGTGTTTAGCTTTGAATACACTGTTATTTCAAATCTGAAAAGAAAAGAATATTTGCCTAAGACATTCTGTACTTTTTTTTTTAATAAACTAACAGATAAGACTTACCAAAACAGTATTTTCTAACTTCACCTTTGCGATATTCATATATTCATGCACAAGGAAAAGGTTAAACACCATCTTGGATACTTGGAGATCTCATCACACTAAAGTTAATTGTTGTCAGTAGCTTATGAAGTATTAGAGAGAAGGGTTTATTCCAATAATCTTCTGATCAATTTTTCTATTATTTCTGTTGTTGCATTTGTAAGATGTTCTGTAAAGAAACTCATTCAAAAAGTGGTCTAACTTTTCAAGGATCTCTGTTTTGTACTGTATACTGTCACATGTAGAGTAGTACTATGCAGTGATCAACTGCTTAGGATGATAACAGGAAGAAAACGTTGTGCCAAAATGAAAGCAGGTTTTTTTTATGCAGGTGTAAAAACTATATGCACAGTCCTAAAATAGCCATAAGACAAGATGTTCTACCACTAAAAATAATTTGTGAAGGTACTTACAAACAATCTTGTGTGGCACCATTCCATTATCCATTTGAAGCCTGTCTTCCATGAACGCTATTCCAAGGTTACTGAAATTATCTACGCTTGCTTCAGCAATTAACTTAAAAGGCTCACCGGGTTTATAGGCCAACGGTGAACAACAGTCTGACCACTTCACAATCTAGAATAAAGCATATGCATGTTCTTCAGGTTGAAAAGGTTACAGAAAAATATCCACATACTAACAGTATTATGCATTTGCAAGATGAACTGCAAATAAAAACTGCTCTTCCTTGGCAAAGAATTGTGCTATTAAAAAATCAGCACAACAGTAGGCAGAGCTAACAGAAGGGCATTATCAAACCGAAAGAACATCACTAGCAATCCTAAGGGCTGGAAATAATTTTAAAGAAGGCGCTTTTTTTAAAAGAAAAAGTATAGCTACCCAGTCTCTAGAATATTTAAATGGCAGCATCGCTTTTAAGACTTGTTTCTACGATGCTGGATATGTTTAAAACAACTATTACATTTAATAGAATCAGGGGATAACACATCTCAACTTGAGGAAGTTTTCGGTTGACGGTTCTTTTCACACAGAAGTGCATGCTTCAAGTCGACAAAGGTCAATGTAGGAGACTTAATACAACCGCAAAAACCTACTGAGGAGGGGTCATGAAGCAAGCAATATGCGCTACAAGACTCAGTCCTAAGAGAAGTAAACAAAGCAATATCTACACTAAGTGTTGAAAACAAACTGGGAGGACAAATACATCTTTTCCAAAGACCAAGGCTATAAAAGTATCAAGTAACACATAAAATGGCAGGAGAGCACTATTGCATCCTGCAAGTACAATTCTGTTTATTTCCAAGACGTGTCTTTCTGCAGAAATTCTAAAAAGAATGCTTATAAAAAAGAGCAAAATAAAACTCTTAGTGTTTAACAGAAGCACTCACTGACTATCAGAATCATTAACTATACATGAAAGACTTAGGTTGCTTATCTACATCAAAAGTTTCCTTCTCCAGAACAGAAGCATTATGGAAGTAACATACTTCGGTTTGTTTTCTTCAAGAAGATTTAAGCCCAAACTACTCAGCTGTACTGTCTTGGAGAACAAGTTTCAAATTTAACTATAAAACTCTGAAGTGGAGAAAAAGTAAAAAGAGGTTTGGTTTCCTTCTGAAAGGCAGACACCATAATAAAAACTACAAATCTGTCTACTGACTCATAACTGCAAATGACACTTTTAAAACCTTATGTTTATAAAACAACAACAACCTAACAAAACAATAGTAAGGTACCCAATTTCAGTAAAAATTGTGTAAATGATACCACAGCCTTTATCCTTAATAGGATACATAAACCGACTGTTCTCCTGTGAAGGCATTTTTAGAGACAGTAAAGCACCAGCTTTTGGTACCAGTCTGAGCTTCCTGGAAAAAATAATTCTCCCTGATGCAGCACTTCACCTAGGCATCATTCCTCTAGAGGGCAAAGACTAACAAGCCCCAAAAGCATGCTCTATTCTAGAACTGCCAGGCCTCCACAGTGCCTGAAGGTACTGAAAATTTGATTGTGGGCATAAATCTGGATTTATACCCACTCCCAATCTGTACTTCTGCTCCTGCACTCCAGCAGAAGACTTTGGGATCATCTCCCCGAACAAGTGGCCTGGAGAAATGGACAGGCTGCAAGCACCTGTGTATGAGACATGTTTCCAAAAAGGAGTGAAAAACCTGATGCCAAAAAGCAAGGATGACAGATGGCCCTTCAGGGTGCCAAGCAGGGGCCATTCAGGAAGACACACCATCAAGTGCCCCCAGGTGGTGATCCTAGGCTGCAGCATCACCTGTTTCATGGAAGGGCTCTGTCCATTTTATGCTGCCTCAGCAACGAGGGCAGATGTTCACTGCCTCCCCAGGGATACCCTAGCACACATCTTCCCATCTTGCCTCTCTCCAGCAGGTAACGAGGTCCACTCTCTCCTCTCTGCTAAGGAAAGCACACAGCATGCACAGCAACTGACTGCAGTGGGAAGGAACTACAACCACCTGTACCGCTTAGATTTTTCCTACCTGCAAGGTAAGTTTATCTTTTTGCTTTGAGTTATGACTTTTCTCCCCCTTTAGACGCACACTCAAGCCTCGGTGGCAAGCACTCCGCACATGAGGAAAAAGTTACAAACCCAACAAAATTTAGGGGAGAGAAAGACATTATCTCAAGTTCACAGTAAATTTTGATTCGGCCTATTTTTATGCATAAGCTGGTTAGAAATGCTATGTATTCAGTAATTCCAGTTTTAGAGCATCTTTTAAATCCACATCTATGCACTTTCAATATAATGGAGAAGACATTTTTAAGATTTCTAAGTATCCAGGACATGAACATTTTGTAAGCCTCACAATGCAAACACAATTTATAAAATTCCAACAAAGAGGTAATGCCTTTCCCCCTCTGAATTTTACAGAAAAGCAAAGATTAAAAGCTTGATTTTAGTCCTACTTCTGCAGACTTGACAAAATTTTAAAAATGTGTAACACTTTAATGTGTACTTATAAATCACAAAGAAAAGAAGTTTTCAACAGAGACTTCTGTTTCAATTTGAGCTTTTCACAACCACTTAGTTGTAGGTTTGAGGACCTTTTCAGAAATCTTAATATACGCCTGGCTCTGTATATTCTTATTGAGGCATTTGTTTCAGCTAGTGTCCAAGACAGAACACTGAGCTAAATGGACTTTTGATCTGCCTTAGTATGACAACTTTCAAGCATTTTTCTTCCTATTCAGCATGTCTAATCACACATGCATTATCCAAAATCAAAATCAAATTCTGCAGTTCCCATCCACAGCCAGAGAAGTGGGCTACTAAAGAAAATATCAATAAAATGTCTATGGGTGTATTTGAAGCGTAAAATAGAAGAAGTGTATCAACTGTGATTCATTCTAATGAAGAGGATTTTTAAATAAAAATAACATTATAAAGACACACACATACACAAAAAAAAAAAAAAATCTATCTGCAATTGATTTGTTTTCCTTCAAGTGTTTTAGGTTTATACCCATCAAGTGACTCATCTCTACTACTTTCTATGCAAGAAAAAAAGATAACTACTTACCTCTTTTGTAGACCCAGGTACCTTCTGTAAGCTATCTGTCTGAGCTGAAATGCTTTCTGTCACAAAAGCTATATGTTCTGCTTTAAGTAACTTATCAGGATAAATGAAAGGAGTAATAAGAAGTAGACTCCACCTGTTTAAGTCATCAAGGAACTGAAAGAAACGGCAAAGAAGAAACACATCTGTATAGCGATGATCTGATTTAAATAATTCATTTTTAAATTATGCCCAGCCTAAATACAAATCTGACCCTTCCGCCTTACACGAAGGGTCTCCACCTTTTCGCACTCCCCATGAGGAAAAAACAAGGTAAAGGTCTGAACCATTAAGCAGGAACACATTAAAAGTAAAACTAAAAGTGACAACCAAGCTTTCAAGCCAGTTCAGACTCTAGCTTCCAGCTTTACAGGAACAGTACACAAGCGAGTGGGCCACAAGATTACTATGCCATTAATCATTCAACCCAACCCCCCTCTCCTAGTCACAGCGCAGTTTGCCCTGCTGCTTCCTTCCTTCCTTTTTCTCCCCTGATCACACAAATCCACGGCCCTGCTGCCCCCGTTCTGATGGCTGAAGGGCACCGTCCGCTCCTTGGCAAGGCCTGAGAAGGCAGTGGCAACACACAGACCTGCCTGGTCACTCACTACAGCTCCTCTAACTGGGTAGTAGTCCAGGCAGCGTCCATTCTCGCTGGGTAACAATCCTCCAGGAAAACACACAGTCCCATTGTAAGTCATATACGCTGTCTCTGCACCCATGTGCCAAAAGACCAACGAACCTGTGAGCCACAAGCAACCTGAGAACTATATACCACACAGACCTAATTTAGAAAGTTTCAGGACTTCTTTTGTAAAGTCAGTTATATAAAGACAGTTACATTCTGCAGACATGTACGATCACCTCAAGACAAATTCCTTCAAAAGTAATTTGAAAAACCTTATCTAAATTATTTGAAGTAAAAGAAGGTATTTGTCAATACATGCATCTGCACCAAAATTACTCATTCAGCACGTATCTCTAAGTTTAAAGAAATAACCCATTCAAAGGAATTTGTCCATACATAATGTAATCTATCCACTTATAAGACCATTGGACAAATGTTTCCTTCACTAAATTATCGAAATGGTTCCCTCCGTTGTCCTCACAAGGGAGCAAAAAAAGCCCAAAAGCTGGACTCAGTAGGCCAAATAACAGTTTTAAGAACTTCAAAGCTTCTCTACACATAATCTGTTCCCATACTGTACTACATTACCTTTTATGTAGATATTGCAATGAACTTACATTTTCTGCCATATCTTAAAAGAGGCAGACATGAGAAGTAGGTATTTTGCTACCACTACACTAGAAACACATGCTTTGCGCACCTTCAGTCATTTTATATGGAAACGTAGGAGAATTTCTTTATATGTACACATTGCTTCTAAAATGAAACTGCGCAATACGAGGTCTATGGGGATAGCTTGCTAGTCCCACCAGCTTCACTGAGCCCAAAAGGTGTGAAAGTAAACACTGCTACCTTCCACAGGAAAGTGAACTGAACTCATGAAGCTGTATACTATCTTAGGCATACAATTTGATTAAAGCTCAAACAAAAAAAAACTTTACAGGCTACCATTTACAGCTTGCTGGTATCTTATCTCAAGGAAGTTATTGGCCACAGTCCAGAGGCAGTTATACCTGCTCAAAAAGCAAAGCAGCCCAGCTAGCTTCCTGGAAGCCAAAAAAGCACGCTAGATAACCTTTATTTCTTCATAGTGTTCACAGATAATGTAGAGAGCTCCACAGTGATGCCTGCCTCTATCATCCATGCAGCCAGGTCAGAGCCCTTACAGGCCACATCACTGAGATGCAGCATGGCAGGCATCTTCCACAGGGATTCTCAAAGTCAAATGCAACTAGTAACTTTCAATACATATTTTTAAGAGACATATTTTGAATATGAACTGACTTTATGCCAAACTTCAAGACCAACTACAGGTCCTTAGAGGGCTCTCCAACTCTCAATAAACACCAACTGACAAGCCTATAAAGTGAGTCTGCACGAATAACACTGCAGACATAAAATGTGCTTACTGTGCAAAGTCACAGCTATTTCAGAAATGAGCAAAAGTGGAGCAAAGAACAGCATAAAACAGTTGAAATATGATTTACAAAACAACAATCCGGGCCAAATGAGGTAGAGCTCCTCCAAAAATATGGACAATTATTTGGTTTTTATTTAAGAGCTTTCTCAAAAGGTGAATTAAGTATTTAATATTCCTGTGAGAGATTCTGAGACTATTTCATACTTAAAAGCGACAGTGACAATCTGCTCCTTAGATAATAAAAGGGCTGGTTTTGAACCAACTCCAGTAGCATTTGTGATTTCCCCTGCACTGAAAACAGCCCTCTTCACCCCGAGTTTATAAAAAACTTCTCTGCTTGTATAGCAGCACCTAGCCAACACTATGTTCCATAAATACATTTCAGTACGTGTTAACAACCAAAATAATTTCCACAAACACATGTATACACATCAGCAAAAAGGAGCAATCAAGAAGATTCTTATCCACAAGAATTCTAGTAACTAGTAAAAACTTCAAATACAGCATTAACTTAAATAGTTCAGAGGATTTGGGGTGGGTGCCACAGGCGTTCCATTTCCAAATCTGAAAGTCAGAAGCAAGCCTGCCATCTCATGAACTAAAATTGAAAGTGAGTAAAGCTTGTTCCAGTATTTTTCCACAGCCTCACCCCACCCTTCTCTCTCACTGCCCGTCTGCAAAGAAGCGATTTTTCACAGATGGTGTTTTTCATCTTCCTCCCTCGACACGTTTCGTGCGGGCAGGTGCATGCAGGTGCCTGTAACCAAACGCTCCATCCGGACTCTGTTACAGATCCGGCTACGTTTTAAACTTCTGACAAATCTGGGCCGCAGAATCACGGCATACGTTTTAGGATTAAAGCCTTCTATGTGCTAAAAGCATACTACTAACAGGGAAATACAAATTCTACTAGCCAAGCGCTCCTATTGCCACAGCTGTGCTTCCAAAGCCGCCCTTCACAGGCACACGGCAAACACCCCTCCTCAGCCCGCTCCCTGAGCCCGCAAGCTGCAGCAACCACGAGAGGGGAACGGCAACTGCACTCAGATTTCCTACCAAAGCAATCACTGGGTCTTACCGCAGCCTTATCCTTGGCGAGCAGGGCTCTGACAGGCCGGGGAAGCTACATGAGTTGGGTTTTGAGGGATTTTTCTTTTCCTAATCCCAAATCCCAGCCCGCCTCCAAGCTCGCT